AAAAAAAAAAAAAAAAAAGAAATGAAAAATTATGAGACATAAAGAATAAATGAAAGGAAGTTATGTTTCAAACATGGTAGTACTAGGATGGAGTACTGGAAAAGGGTCAAGTTAGATGCGAAGAGACGAGAGTAGGGGCTTGAAAAGAGCACATATGTATCGTTACATGTGCTGACAACAGCAATCATGCCCAGTGCTTATTAACTGCCGTGGGCAAGGCATGCACTACTGTCTTGACATTTATTTTGTCGCCTAATTTCACAGTAATCTCATGAAACAGAGGCCATTGTTTTTCTGCAGATCACAGGTGAGGAAACTGAGGAACAGGGGTTAAATAGCCGAAAATCAAGCCGCACTCTGTTATGAAGGCAGAATTTTAATTCCTGTTGTAGTCTGAAATTTAAAGCTTGTTCTCTTTATCTCTATGCTGTGTTACAAGGTTTTGTTTTGTTTTTTTTTTAATCTCTGTATTTTAAAATAAGCTACTTCTTATTTCAGCCCCTCAGGATCAATGGTGTTAAGGTATATACTGAAAATGTAGACAAAAGGCAAATTATTTTGGACCTTCAGATTAGGTAAGTTTTTATTTGTTGTATTTGTGTCATGGTTAATGGTGTGTAATGTCACTTAGCTGCACCTGTAAGGTGGAGGATACAGAGAGCACACGTCTTACCTGCTGTCGGTTGGAGTTCTTGTTAGACATCCAAATATTATTTACCTTCTGGGTCTCAGTTTCTAATAGCCTCGATAATTTTCATTCGTAAAATGTGTTAAATAAAAAGAAGTTAAAGACACTACAAGGAAACTATGGACCAATATTCTTTATGAACGTTGATTAAAAAAAACACTTAACAAAATACTAGCAAACTGAATTCAGCAGCATATTAAAAAGATTTTACACCATGACCTAGTGGGATTTTTTCCCAGAATGCAAAGATGATTCAGCATACAACAATTAGTTGATGTGATACACCACATTAAAAGGAAAAAACCAAATCATGTGATTATCTCAGTTGATGGAGAAAAAGCATTTAACAAAATTCAATACCCTTCATGATAAAAACACTGAATGAACTAGGAATAGAAGTAAACTAACTCAACATAATAAGAACCATATAAGAAAACCCCACAGTTAACATTAGACTCACGCCTGTAATCCCAGCAATTTGGGAGGCTGAGGCGGGCGAATCACAAGGTCAGGAGATCGAGACTATCCTGGCTAACACGATGAACCCCCGTCTCTACTAAAAATACAAAAAATAAGCCAGGCGTGGTGGTGGGCGCTTGTAGTCCCAGCTACTCTGGAGGCTGAGGCAGGAGAATGGCATGAACCTGGGAGGCGGAGCTTGCAGTGAGCCGAGATCGCGCCACTGCACTCC